AAGAAGAAGGCTAGCATTTGTGAGAAGATTCTAGAGATGTATGGACATTTCCTTAGGAAGAACCTAGATCCGTATGAATTTGCTAGAAAAGTCCTTGGAATCTTCTAGGCTTGTAGAGAATTCTAAAAAAAGCCCTTATCTTGTAAATATCAAGGACTTGTGTAATAATTAATATTTACACACTAGCCCTTAGGAGACTAGTATATAAAGGGGACCATTCATTTGTAATTCATCAAACAAACAATCTCTCTAATACAAAGCTTCCTTTAACAATTCTCTTGTATTTTTTCTTCCATTCTCTTAGTGATCGTGAGTGTAGTAATGTTGACTTGACATAGCAAGAACGTGAACAAGTTGTGCAAGATCGTGAGCGAGTTGTTAAGTGCCGCACGTATACTTAGTTAACAACTAAGGACGTGACATAATGCTTCTATATTTTCCTGCCTGCTCTAATCCTCCCTCATTATTTGTGACCGAGTAATACCCCTCCAAGACATGCACTTGTGTGGTAGAAGAAAAAGAGTTGAGACTTTAAAATAATCAAATTTTGTATTCAACAAGATGGGAAATGCACTCAATGATGTGGCAAAGTTCTCAATAAAGTGGGTTGAGAATTTTAGGTCATAGCTTCAAATCCTAGCGTAGACAAAAATATTAAGTAATTTCTTCTCATCTATCAAAGCCTTGATGGATAGAGTTACAACAACGATAACAATATATCTAGTGGAATCTCACAAGCGGAGTCTGGGAAGGTAATGTGTGCGCATATCTTACCCCTACCTTAGAGAGGTTATTTCCGGTAAACCCTCAAGAATAGTGAAAAAGAAACAGTAAACAGATAGTTGCAACAATAAAGTAATATGCACGAAAACAAACAACTCAGTGTGCATTAACAATGAACTAGGAATGTGACCTTGGTGGATAGAGTTATCCGGTACATATTGATGGTGGGAGCTCACATGTATCCCGTGGATTAGACATCATCAGAAACTGAAACCAATATACAAAGAAAACAACAAAGAAGGGGGCGATCTTGTCAAATATGGATGGAAGTAACTATTAGAAAATAATAAACAAAAATGGCTTTGAGGCGTGAAAATCGACTGTCCTTAAAGAGTTATCGCATGTATACTAATTTAGGGAAAATACAAAACAATTTTTTTCAGGATACAACAAAGCCTACAATAATACTTGTGATTTTCTATGCCACTTCGTTAGAATTCTTGTGTCTTGTTTAACTTTAGGATGTCTTGTCTCACAAACAAACATATTTGGTTGGACCCTTTCATAACAGACATAATTATTTATTCGAATTTTGAATTTAAAATTCAAATAAATTTGATTTTTCTGTCACAAAATAAAGTAATTAATTTTAGGATCCGACCCGGCCCGCGCCCAACCTCCAAGTCCAAATCTTTGATTATATAATTATATAATATATAAATATATAGTGTACTTAATTGCACACACTTAAAAATATGTGTTTTAAATCAAACACATAAAAAGGACAAGTGCTTAAAAAGCTCCAAAGGGAACTTCTCTTCCAATGTGGGAAGAATCTCACTTCCAACTTTTCAATAACAAACTAACTTACAGTAACTTTCAAGTTTTTGACATTTTAATGATCTATGATCTACCTCTTTCTGTTGTAATTTCTTCTTTTGAAAATGTAGTCTAGGAATTATGTACTCTTGACAAATCAAGCTACGTGCTAGACTTTATTAGTCATAATATTAGTTTTTCTTTTCTTTCTAAAAAATATGGCCAGCAATAGCATTACGTGTAATATATAAGTAACATATAATTCACATTTCAGGTTAAGCGACTTGGAGCCCGGTTGGACATAATAAAATTTTTCCTTTTTCCCGAATTTTTTTTTTTTTTTTCGAAATGAGCGTTTGTTCATAAAATTACTAATTTTCACATGAAAATATATTTTGAAATTTTTCGAAAATTTTAAAAACTCCAAAAAGTTGTTTTTCAAAATTTCCATTCAAATCACTCGTAAAGCTTCAAAAACAACCCAAAATTATATTCATATCCAAAATTTTCAAATACCATTTTGTCTTAGAAATTTTTTTTCACTTTTTTTTTTTTTGGAATTTTACCGTTCTTATGTCCAAACGCCCACTTGATATCTGTATTTTGAAAAAATCAAATCCCCACTTGTACCTTTTCCAACACATAAATTTCCCCTTTTATCAACTCGCTAAAATTCATCCGCGGTGCAAGTTAGTCCACACCTTATCCAAATACGCGGTATGCGCACAAACACCATTATCTGGCCATGGGATGTTGCTGTGATGATGACGAACAGCTTCTACAGCCACTGAACCCTTCCGACATCCAAAACTCCGTTCAAATCCCGCCGTCTTCCTCCTCAACCTCCGTCGTGAACGGCGGAGACACCGTGATATCTCCGATGAATTCCAATTTTTCTGCCTTGATATGCCACGACACTCTACGCGCCATCCTCGAGAAACTCGCTCTCCCAGACTTGGCGCGTGCGGCGTGTGTGTGTAGGATCTGGAACATCGTAGCGTCCGATCGTGAAATGCAGACTAAGGCATTTAAGGATCCTTGGAAGATCAAGGACGTCATCGGGGATCCTACCTCCGGTAGTTTCTGGAGGGATAATAGCCTCTCCAAATTCGCCATTTCTCATCGCATCGTCCGTGGTGATAACGTTGCTAGCCTCGCCGTCAAGTACTCCGTCCATGTATACCCTCTCTCTGTCTCTATGTGTATTTTCTGTATGTATATATTTTTTTTTCACATTTTTTTTTTGTCCTTAATTCAAGGTTTGATTTCTAAGTCTAAGGTGAATGATAAAAATGTTGAAAAAACCGGTGAAAGAATGAACTGAACTGATTTCTAAGTCTAAGGTGAATGATAAAAATGTTGAAAAAATCAGTGAAAGAATGAACAGGAATAGAATAAAATCATAGACATTTTTTAGTGCCGGAGTGTTTGTGTTTCCAAGGTGTATGAGTGAAAATTGTTTTGTGTGATCGTTGTTTTCACTAATGGTCTCTAAACATAATGGAGAAGGTTGACAATAAGCTACCAGGAGCAAGAAGCAGCGCTGTGAATAATTATGAGAGGCCTTCATTTCATATGTTATTATAATTATAAATGGATAAGCCATAACTTGTTCTTATTCTTTTAAACTAATCATTTGTGCTTGTAAGTGATGTGGGTTTCTACTTGGTTAACAGCTTGTTTGGATGGTTGTTCCCTATTGTATCGTATTGTATTGTTATCCCAAAACAATATTTGTTTTGATTGTTTCATTAAAATTAGTTGTATTGTATTGTTAATTCCATTGTTCTGAAACAACGAAAAGTCCCTTTTTTTAAACAACCGATTTGGTTTGGTGGGATTGTTTCTTATTTTTCTTTCCAATTATGCCCTAACTTATTACTCCACAATTCCATTTTACCCTTTACCTTTTTTCTTTTTAACTCCAAATCTCCAACCTATAACCTACTTTGTTTTTTTCCAGAACTTCTACCGCCAACGTTAAAGGTGTTTTGCTGTCTTCAGTTTTATTTTTTCTCCTATTTTGCTTTTAACTCAATTCTAATTAGCTGAGCTCCTTTGTTTTGCCTTTTTCTATCTCGCTCCTTTGTTCTGCTTTCTTAAGGTCTTTTGCCTTCTCCTGTTTTATTTTTTAAAATTATTTTTATGCATAATTTTTTATAAATTTAATATTTAAACAATTGAGGGTGTTTTAGTAAACTTATTAGTTACAGTGCAGTACGATACAATCCAAACAGCAAAATATTATTTAACAATAACAAACAATACAATCTATCAAAACATTTTATTCATAAAACCATACGATACAATACAATACAACATTATAAAACGATGGGGGACAATGATCCAAACAGAGTAAGAATTTCCTTTAATTGGCAGGTCATGGATATAAAGCGCTTGAACAATATGCTGAGTGACCATGGTATATACTCGAGGGACAGGTTACTCATTCCTATTAACAATTCAGACTGCCTCATCAATGGCACTTGCTATATTGAGCTGGATATATATGCAAAAAGGGAAGTGGCAGTTTTGTATCTGGAAGGTGGCCCTGATCCAAAGCTCACTACAATGTTACAAAGATTGACCTCAGAGAGGAGCAAGAAAAAGGTGATCGACTCCCTAAGGAGAAGCATGCAAGTTGATGGTGAAACTGCTCAATATTACTTTGCTGTATCAGATGGTGACCCCCGATCTGCTTTCTCAGAATTCTCTGAGGATCTGAGGTGGGAGAGGGAGGTAGGGTTCACTTAACTTGTACATGTCGAAATAGTTGATCCTTGTAAAGATGTGTGAATGGAGAAAGCTACTGGTAATGCGTCTCTGAGTTGCATTCGGTCCTACAAAGGAATAATGATCCTTAGAATTGCTGTTACTGCCAGCAAAACATCAACAACTTTATTCACGTTGTATGTAATTCTATGTAGTCAGATACATTCGGCGGTTTGTTGCTCTGTAGAAGTGTTGAATTCCATCCACATTCTTGTAAAATTTACGCCTAAATGAATGAAAACTTGTATTATCCGTAACTTCAGCTGGACTTACTGCTACATCAACTCACTTGTCAAAGAATTGTGGAGCAACAGCCCCTTTTGCCCGGTTAAATCTTTTGCTACAGAAACTGGACGAGACATTGTAGTGCCATGGGTGATCTCTTCATTTCTCCTATATGAGCTAACATTTTCTGCAGAACTGAAACCAATAGATTCTTGAAACATGCAAGCAATGCTCATTTGCGTATAGTCAGAGCAACGCAAAACGTAAGATTGCTTCTTAGATGATCTCGGGAGCATCTAAACAGAATTCTCTATCCACCTAGAAAATAGATCCCTAGAGAGGATAAAATAAAAGAGAGAAAACAAGCACGATATACCATTTGGGCTTTGGTTCAATGGTAACAGCACCCGTGATGTGTGGGTCAGGAACATAAAAATAAAAATAAAAAAAATCACAAGTTGATTCCTCCAATCTGAATACTTTCTTCTTTGAATTATGGTTCAAGTACAATTCAGACTATTCTTGGTGTATACATGAAGTAGGGGCAGAGGACATAAAAAGAAGCCTCTCCCTCTGATGTGCGCTGAATTTCCAATATAAGAAATCAGATTATGGAACTTCAAAAATGTACTCCACAATCTATTACCAGCAACTAAAAGGATCATTTTTTCAATCAACAACCAGCAACTAAATTAGAGCCTTGCACATGCTGCACTACTATGAATCTGTTATCCCCTAGCACGATTATTTTCAAGTGCAGCCAACTCTTTTTCTTGCTGCTCTCTGAGATAGCTCTTGGCAGTTGTATTTACAATCTTGGCTGAGAAGTTCAGGAGCATGAGCCACACAACAGTATTCCACATTGAACCAAGCGACAAATCCCACTTTTTTGCCTGCAGCAGAACACCATTTTTAGTTCATACGGTGATTGTGTCTTGTATGTATGCACACAGGCTTAAACTGCATATTTGTTCAATGGATAACAGTTGACATCATTGTATAAAACAGGCCATCCAGACACAAATAAGACTGACGGGTCAAGCAACAAGCAGGTTCACTAGGATCTAGCCAAGGAGATCTTCAGGTGACAAGTTATGGGTGTGAATACCGACTCTGATTATAGTGTTTGCATGTTAAGCGGAAACTCTATAGTAGTTTAGTTTAGTCAAAGTCTTTTTTCTTCTGAGATGATAAAACTCTTTTCGGCATAAACAAGTATCGTAAGGCTTAGGCTTTTCCTTTTCTGATAAGTTACATGGCTTATTTATGCATACCAACTGGATGACAGCATAAGTTTCTTTGAACTAACCTTCTACACCTATAAAAACAACAGTAAAGTTCTAGGTATAATCCAGCTCAGAAGGTGGAAGGAGAAAGTTACTTTTAGCATAGAAAAAACCTGCATGAAGCAGTAGCGAGAGCATTACCTCTACGTTAATTTTTCTGATGAGTCAGTGTATTACCTTTACATTAGACACTGAAGGGGATGCTGCCATGTACTTCTCTCTAGCGACGTGTAGTTTGGAAATGATATTTGGCAGAAGCGAAGCAACTCCAGGGATGAGACCAAGCACCCGAACTAATTGATTTTCTATCAAGTCCAACAGTTGATTGTTGCAAACTGAGATGATAAATGCTGTCTGCAAAGTAACTTTTTCAAATCAACAACCAAAATTTAATATGTTGTTGAGATATGAAGCTAGCTACTGTTTGTTTTCTGTTCTTTGACATCCTATTTCTTCGGCTCTTGACCACAAGTGAAGAGTAATTAGTTCAAAATTGCTCCAAAAATGCAGACTTATAATCCACACATATGACCATAGATAAAGTTTGTCCAAATTAATCCAATTTACAGCGCATTATAGTGATTAGTATACTAAGTGTGGCAATGTTGGTTTGTAAAACAGGGCATTTTTACAGTTTTCATCAAATCCTGACAATCGGAATTTAATCAAAGGCGATTGTGCAGTAATTGATGGTCCATTGTCATGACGAGGGGGAATAAGAGCAAGGACGGACTGAAGGAGCAGACTGGGCAGAACATGGTGGGGGGAAGTGAGGATAGAAGAAAACATGAGGGAGAAGAAAGCAGGAGCTGGAGAGCCTGGTAACGGTATATCCACCTGTCTTATACCTTAAGATTCAGAAAAAATACATGATATAATCTCTTTTAAATGAAGTTTGCAAACATATTTGGCAAGTGTTCAAATACTTATAACCAGAGAAGCATTGGGAGCTTAACAACAAATGATAACATTTGGTAGATGCAGACCTGTATGTGAGTCTTAATAATTGCCTTCCCGATCAGTGTTGCTATAAAGAATTTCCAAAATGGAATACCAAATTGGCCACACATGATACCAGCAAGGTCAAACAGAGGATTTGGCACCTTCACAGGAAACAAAGAGATCACTAAATAGGCTATCAAAACAAACATAAAAATGGGCAGGCAGTAACAAAAGCATCATACATAAAAAGAGATAAACGTTGTAAAGGACAAGAACACAATTGTGTACCCCCAAAAATGTTAGAAAAGACGAGAACAGATTGTGATCCCCACCCCAACCCCCACCTTTTTTTTTTTTGGGGGGGGGGGGGGGACTAAAACATGCTAAATCAGTAATGATTATTGCAAGTAATTAAATAATAAAACTAACTATTGAGATCTGGAATAAAAATAAGATTCTAGAAAATTAACTTCACAGCTACAAAGTGGGGCATCTAATTGTGCACAGAAGTGCCCTTGTTCCCAGAAATAAGGAAAAAAGAAACATCAGAAAAATGAAGAAAACAAAATATATCAAATCTACTTGTTCATTCTTATTTTATGATGAAATTTTAAGAATATAGCAGCAACCCAGAGAGAGACCGTAAACAAAGACATTTCATTATTTATCAAATGATAAAAAATGAGGAAGCAGTCAAGCAGTAAAAGGTACTTCCTTCTCTC